TGTGTGTGTGTGTGTGTGTGTGAAGGACTCTTATTATTTATTTATTTTTTGGCAGCTGGCCAGTATGGGGATCCGAACCCTTGACCTTGATATTACAAGGCTGTGCTCTAATGAAATGAGCCAACTGGCTAGCCCTGCTTCACTTTTAACACACATTTTACTGTGCACAAGAATTACCTGGGGAATTTGTTACAAATGCAGATTCCTGAACAGATCCCCAAAGATTCTCATTCTACATGTCTGGGGCCCAATAATGTACATGTTAAACAAATATCTCTGTTGATTCTGATGACTGTTGTTCCTGGATAGGTCATTTAAATCAAGATACTTGATAGTAAAAGGAGGCTCTATTAATAATTTAATTGGGACAAAAGAAATAAACTGGAAATATCTCAATAGGCACACAAGGATGTCTGGTAACTCTGTCTGGGGCACATTTTAAGAAAATGGTGATTTAAAGTTTAATTTGAAGTTTCCTGCCATTTCCTTTCATGACTGAACTTAGGTGCATTTCCTTTAGCCTTCTCAGGGTTGTCGCTGTTCCCACTCTACCTCAACTGNTTCCTGCCATTTCCTTTCATGACTGAACTTAGGTGCATTTCCTTTAGCCTTCTCAGGGTTGTTGCTGTTCCCACTCTACTATGAATCAACCTCAACTGTTTAGTGTGTATAGGACTATCTAGTAAAAGAAGGGAGATGGAATTGTAAGGCTTCTGAACATAACTAGGAGCAACTAGAGGGAGGTGGGACCCACTCCTTTAAAGTTGGAGATTCTTTTTCCCTGATTTGAAGGATATTGCTTTTATTTGCCCTAACCTAAAACTCAGGACTCTTCTGGAACTTTCCGTTGTGCATGTTGTCCCAAACCAATCATAATTCTTAGTGTTCCTGGCTCAGCTGTGTCTCATTTTTCTTCAGTTAATAATGTAAAAAAAACTGCATTGACCTGGTTAAATTCCCAGTACTTTCAGTTATTTAGGGATGGACTAAAGGGCTAGTATCATTGCTTAACAAAAGTGTCTTAAACTTGTTGGAGCTTATGTTGACAAATAAAATTC